TCTTTCAACTTCGGATTACAACAAAATCCAAAAAGGCGATCTTAAAACTGAACTCCATCCTCCAACCTGGATTCCGCAGCCATTGACAGCCTGCAGTTAATAATATTAGAGCACTGTAAGGCTGCCAACTCAGGTACGGGGTAAATCCTTGGAGATTTGGGGGCGGTGCCTCTGGAGGGGGCGGAATCTGGGGAGTGGCCTCACCAAGGGATGACACAAGAGTCCAACTCTTCCAAAACGGCCACTTCTTCCGGGGGAAGTCAGGAGACGGGGGTTGTAACTCTGGGTGGGGGTGGGGGAGCGCACTCACTCTGGGCTCCTTCTGGAGGTTGGCCACTCTGTAGCTCAGACCACTCAGAGGCCAAGTTATGTGGCAAAGGGAAAAACTGATGGAGACAGACAGAAGTGAGACAGGGTCATATATGCTGTATGACTGTTCTTATTTCTCTCTGCTGCTGGCTTTATTTGGCTTCTGATTTTTTATGGTATTTATTTTGGTACTAGTTTAAATTCGTTTGGGGAACTAAAAGTACTCTGTTAACCATCTTCTTGTAGATTGAAAAGGACATAAATTGTGTGTGTGTGGGAAAGATCCTCCACCACCTCCACCTCCTCCTGCCTTTCTGCCGTCACAAGGACCTCCAAGGGTGGCTAACAAGTTAAAACATACATCATAGAATCCCATTTTAAAACCATTAAAATCAACTCCCCCCCCAAAAAAACATGTAAGTAAAACTGTTAGAAAAGGAGTTAAATTACTTATGAAGACATAGAAACAGCAGTTAAAACATTTGTCTCACAGGAAGTGCAGTGCTGAAGTAGTATTATCACCAGTGATATTTTATCTCCCACATTTTGCCAACTTTGTTTTCTTGCACATAACTGACTGCACAGAGTAGAATTTGTGGAGTGCCCTTGGCAAGGTGGAGGGGGAACATGGAAGCTGGATCACGCCCCAGGATCTAGCAGATCTAGCAGATCCTGGAACTACTGCTCACTACGGCTACTTGGTGCTCGACACAACTTTCGCATGCACCGTGTTTTTGAACTGCACAAACATTCTTTTGCATTGGCACCTTTCCCCCTGGAACCGCTAGTCTCAAATTAGCATCCAGCATAATGAAGCTGTTAAAGAGATGCAAGGACCAAGCAGGAATAGCAAGTTTAGTATATATGGCCACCATTTGTTTGGGTCTAATTCCATGGGGGGGTATCAAAACTGGAGACTGATGTGTAACTGCCTCCTCCATAATTGTGGGATGCTGAGAGGGATTCACTGAGAGGGACGTGCACGAGACCCACCCGGGAATCGTGAGGATGAAAGCGCTGGCCAGGAGCTACGTGTGGTGGCCAGGAATGGACAGCGAAATCGAGGCCTGGGTACAGCGTTGCCAGGCCTGCCAGGAGATGCGCCCCGAACCTCCGAGGGCTCCCGTTCACCAGTGGCAGTCTACCCACACACTGTGGGCACGGGTGCATTTGGACTTTGCCGGCCCATTCCAGGGGCAGTTGTTCTTCCTCCTGGTAGACTCCTACACCAAGTGGCTGGAAGTCGTGCCAGTCGCCTCGACCTCATCCTGTGCAGCCATCTGGGCCCTGAGACAGACTTTTAGTACACATGGTCTACCTGACACGGTCGTGACCGATAGCGGCACCACCTTCACCTCGGGAGAGTTCAAGGAGTTCCTGGACCAGAACCTCATCAGGCACGTGCGGTCCGCTCCATTCCACCTGGCTAACAATGGACAAGCAGAGCAGATGGTGTGGACAACCAAGAACATGCTAAAGTGGCTCACTCAAGGGGATTGGCAACGACAGCTGGCTGTCTTCTTGTTCGGCCATCGGTTGACCCCGAGTGCGTCCTCTGGCCGCAGCCCCGCAGAACTCTTAATGGGCCGCTGCCTCATGACGCGGCTGGACCGCTTGCACCCGGACTGAACCCCAGAGTTGCATCTGGCCACTGTGTGATACAGAGTGTTGGACTGGATGGGCCTTTGGCCTGATCCAACATTGGCATCTGTTATGTTCTTATGATCTTGATCACCAGAGACTATGTCAGTAAGAGGTGCCAAGGATGGAACTCGGTCTCTTGTACATGGACCAAAGGTAATGTAGAACCGTGAGACATAATGTTAAGTGAAGGCGGGAAACAAACATGACTCAGGAATCTGACAGCAAGCCTGTTATTGCCCCCAGAATGTTGTCCGATTGGACAACAGAATTCAGTGTCTGTGAGGAGGTCATTTACTGTAATGTTTAGTTTTGTTCTGTTTTTTGCTTTTTTAGTTTGTTTATATTAACTCCCAGCATGGACTAGGGTAGGGTAACATGACTGATCTGAATTAAAGGAACAGATTTATCATGCAGATCACTAGCATAGGCTGTGATTAAGATATGTTCAAACAGAATAGTATAAAGGTCATAGGAACCTGTTGATGTATAAACTATTGGGAAAGTGTACCAGTTAAATAAAGAGTAAGTGGTATTTGACATGTAGGCCAACAGGAACAATATAGATGACCCATGGAATCAAGAATACAATCATTGGTTGTAGCAGAGTATGCAACAAGAGCCATTAATTATAGTTTGCATGTTGGACCCTTGTCTATTAGGGCAGCTGTTTTGAGAAGAGAAAGCATATGCTGTCTTTTAAAAGAGTGGTAAGGAGTCTGTCCTACTCTGTTAACCTGGACTCAAAGAGTCTTATAACCTACCTTCCTTCCTTCCTTCCTTCCTTCCCTCCTTCCCTCCCTCCCTCCCTCCCTCCCTAACCATGCAAGGTAGGGCACCATGAGAAGCTGTGAAGGTACAAGGTCAGGAAATTGTACCACAATTTGATATTTGAACCTGGTCTCCTAGGGCCAGACCAACACTGAATCCACATATGACACTGGGTCTTGCTGTGAATGATGTCACATAAGAGTGACTTGTGCGGGCGAAGGAATCCCCCAGTTCATTGACCATTCTGAAGGATACCATGGAACCGAGAGGAGTGGCAAACTACCTAGGCTTGCCTCCCAAACCATACTTGCCGATGAATTCTGAGTTCCCCATGAAGATGGAAACAGTGAGCCTTGCCTGTGCTTGAAGTAACACCTGCATTGAAAAGCCCCCTAGCAGGGTTAAGTATCAGCGCTGAGAGACTGCAGCAAGGTTAGTTTGTCAGCCTGTAAAACTAGATCTTAGGAATAGGGCTTGGAGTGGAGCTCAGCAGAGAACTGGTTCTGACCTTGGAATCCAGGCAGTCCCAATACAGAGAGTGGTCAAAAAGCACAGCAGGGCTTAAGCATAAATCGTCTGCTGTCTCAGGACATGGCCAGCAACATGAAGGGGAAACTCTGCCCACCTCAGCCACTCTTCAAAAGGACAGAAGCTGAAGAGGTCCAACCAACCCCAACTGAAGGGCACAACAGCATTCTGACACACAATACTTCCCACAAAGGGGCAGGGAGAATTGCAAGGCTGTGTGAACCCAGATTGGGGGGGGGGGGCGGGCTGAGGACAGCCAGGGAAAGGTCCGTTCAGTCAGGCACACGAAAGGTTTAAAAGGGGCCTTCAGGAGCCCCCCCCCCCCCCAGGCTTCTGGTCAGGAGTGACAGAAAGGCAGAGGGGGTGTGGGAAGTCTCCTTAAGGCAGGCCCCGCCTCCCAGCGGCTTCACTGGAAGTGATGGGAGTGGCCAGGGAATCTTCCAAGCAGGCCCCGCCTCCCAGCCTGTTCTCCTCTCTCTCTGGGCACCGGAGGGGGGAGGGGCTTCCACCAGGTCGACCTGGGGGGGGGCCCCCTGAGGGAATGAATGACTGGGCGGGGACGTGCTTCGATGATCGAGGGGGGGTGGTGGTGGTGGTGGTGGTTGTGACTGCGAGGCCCACAAGCCCGAGCCCATGAAAAGAGCCCCTTATTCTGAGGCTCCGCCTACAGCACCCCCCCCACCCCCC